AGTTGAACTGAAAACTAAAAACGAAATAGTTATCAAACGGCCCCTCAAATTTTTAAGTCAAAACTTTGGTAAAACGGCTAATGTGCTGATATTCCAACTTGAATGAAAACCAGTGATGCAGCTGCCAGGCCAACATTTCAAGAACTGCTGGAGAGGCTCAGAGACCTGCAGAGACAGTACACTATTCAGTTCCAAGCAGCGCGTACCGCCGCAGGTGATAACACCCCGAAAGAATTGTAGCCCCTCCCAGCTGGATCTTTATGCTGCACCAGTGTTTTCACTTCCCTACAACTGTGTGGATGAATTGAAGCAGAACAGTGACAAAAAGGGTAAATTAGCCAGAGACAGCCCACAAACGGCATGTCGTATTGGAACCACAAAGTTGGAAAGTCAGATGGCACAAACGGCATGTCGTATTAAAACTGTTGATGGGTTTGGTTGTGTGATGGTTAATGTGTGGGTGCAGTGCGAGAGGAAGTCATGTCGGTTGGATTGGATCACATGATAATATGTCACTAGTTTTTGTGATTTATAAAAAATGTAAAAAAATGAGGGTTAAAAAAAAAAAAAAACTTGGCAGCCGGTCAGTCTATTCATTTGAGTAAATAGAGTGATCAATCTCTCTTTGCATTATTTACTATCTCTATTACTTTTACTTTTTACCATTTTTAGATGGGATGATCTTTTGCGGAATAAAGTTGGAAATTCAATGGGTGGTTTGTCGATGTTGTGATTTGCAATGGTTGTTACTTGTTAAAAACAAGTACCACTAAAATGTGGTCAAACTAACGGTTAAACGGTGCTCTTTGATTCAATTTGAGCGCAAAATGAAAAAACCAAAACCAAAACCAAACCAAACCACCATTGAATCATTCGGCTAGATTCGGCTCGAGTTAGAGCGTTTTTATGCAGGCTAAACCAAACCAGGTGCAATTTGGTTCAATTCGGTCCAAAAATACTTTTATTTTTATTTTTTTTGTAGTGCTATAAGGTTTAAATGGTTCGATCGGTTTTGTGCCACTCTAACAGTGGATGAGCAGTGCTACACAGGGCACTGCTCACAGGACAACGAGAGATTTGACCATTTACGAATAGGAACCCACAGTTCATCAACGGTCAGAAATCATCTGCGCACGACTTACCTTTGCAAAACCACATTGGTATTAATGTTGCAGGTCAACAGAGGAATTCTCTAATTTGTGCCAACAAATTGATAATATCCACCGCAGCAGAAAAGGTTTCGAGAAAGAAGTTTACTTTGAAGATAGGGTTAGGCCAACCACATAATATGATAGTAACAGACAAATATGGGCTGGAAAATGAACACACTTTATAATTGTCATGGAATCTTATCTTCGGATTAGGATGGCCACTCCTGCCACTGGTCTAAAGGTAAAGGCTCCCTCTTGGTGACTAACAATTTCTGTTAAGCGGTAAAAAAGTTGAAGTCGCAAGTGCCTTGTAGCTTAGTTGGTTATTCATCCTCGCATTGTACACGAGGGCCTATGTTCGACTCCCCCTCCCCAGCCTCCCCCGTCACCAATTGTTTCCGAAAAAGAAATAAATCTAACTCAACTGATGCCAAACATGAAATGAGTCACTAAGGTGCATGTTTCTGAATAATTTATCTTCGCAACTCACAATACAACAACGTAATTGTCATTCAATATCTGAATATATCTGAAAGCGTTGAGGATGCAAAATTTGAAGCAAAAAAGAAACCCAAATTCTTATCATACTTTGGAATTCATTTCTAGCGAAGCAAGTGTCGAATGGCAGCAACGGCATCACCCTTGTGCTCCCGCAAAGTCCTCTCAGCTACCTTCTTGTCCAACTCCAGTTCATTTGCGATTATGTCAACATCGCCTGCATTGATCTTCACTGCAGCCAATTCCTTCTCCCTGTAAATTGTAACGAAGCAAGCTTTACAACATGGGCATGCCAGTCTCAACAAATAACAAGTTCATCTTATGCTTATGTTGAACATCATAAGATCCAGTTACTACAATTCACACCATCGAAAATGTAAATTTACTGCTACCCCCACCTTCAGTTCTATCCAAAACCCCAAATCAAGTCAACAATTTTATACAAATTTCACGACGACAATTGTTAATGTTAGTGAGAAACAGTTCAAGAATCGAACAGTATAAAAAATAATCCATCACCTATCAACTATTAACTATTAACGTCGGGTGTAATGACAGTCGTGTTCAGCCTTTATTCTCTTCAAATTGGTGCTTTTTAAGTGGATCTAACAATTATTTTCGCAACGGGCTAGTAACTCATTTGGTTAAGAGCATTCAGCTCGAGGTCCCGAGTTCAATTCTCCCCTCCCCATTATCGCTTGTATATACAAAAAAAAAAAAAAAAAAGAAAAAAAAAGAACCTATTGCTTTCAAACCCTTACTATTGAGTAACAAAGAAAATTTAATCTTTTAATAGCATACGAATCAAACTCGATCATAAGTTAATTCAAGATTGAAAATTTTGATAAATACAAGTTTAGTAAATTGGAATATACCGACCTCAATCGCATAGCATTCCTGTCGGCTTCGGAGGAGGCGGCGATGGAAGCCATGGCCTCCTGGACGCGGGTGGAATCGAGCTGGCGATCTTCGACACGGTCAGTGAGCTTATCGAAGGCTTTGCTCTGCTGCTGCAAGTCCTTGGAGTCCACCACCATCTCCACTCCTTCTCCACCTCCCTCCATTTTTTTCAGATTCTTCGATTTCGATTGCGGTTTCTTCGTGTGCTTCTCGCGATTCAGAAACTGAAATTTGAAACCCCCTTCTGTATTTTTGAAGGAATTTGGTAAAAACCCTAGCTTTTGCCCTCGTTTGAGAATTGAAGACTTGAAAGTGGTGGTGACGGGCGGTGGCTGAGAATTGGGGGCTGAGGAGCATGTCAATAGCGGGCTAGAATTTCATAATGGCCCAACAAGAATTAGATTGGGCAATCATGGCTATTCAGCCCTAATATTGGGTGTAAAGTCAATAATCCCAAGAGTGTGATATTTTTTTTTTTTTTTGCTTTTTATCAACCTTTTATTTACACTAAAGGGTGTGTATTAAATTGGTATTAAACTCGTTATTCAAAAGATTTGAACTTAAAAATTCTCACCTTACAAATAAAGAGGAATATCGTGAATTGTAGTACTAAAGGGTAACCAAAGAGTGTTATATTTGTTGTTGGTCGATTACATATACTTTGGAGTCAATGACAATTTAATTTCCAATTAAAAAAATAAAATAATTTTACTTAGACTACTAAAAGATGAGTAGGAATTTCTTCTCAAAATTGGCCCGGTTCACAGAACTTCGTGCTTATAATTCGAACCGGTCATATTATAAATCACTATGTGAAGATTATCTCTATAAAAAATCAATATAAACTAAGACCATTTAGGGGCCGTTTGATACTCATTTCACTTTTAGTTTTGGTTTTCACCTTTTTGAAAACTGAAATCTTGTTTAGTAGCTACCTTCAATGTTCAAAAACAAAAAAAAAAAAAATTTGAAAACTACTTTCAAGTTTTTACTTTTTATTTTGTAAGAATTAAAAATTAAAAGTAGTTATCAAACAATATTTTAATCTTCTATTTTCAAACAAGTGAAAACTAAAAGCTAAAAACAAAATAATTATCAAAATGCCCATAGTTAATCAACTGATACAAATAAATAGACGGTTTGTTTAGTCAAGCCTTCAAACCACATCTAAAACTAGGCCCAACTTGATAGACAAATGAACAAGGGGGCCATATGTGCCAATTTATAATTGTATGGTTGGCCTTTTTTTTTTATTTTTTTTATTTTTTTATTTTTTTATCAAAATAAAAAAGATACGGATCAAATTGTTACTAAACCTGAACCCTAGGGTGCAAAGTGTAAATCAATACAGTTTTTAATTAGGTCAACTGAGAGTTTAATTGGATCAAATAAAACTTAGATTAGGCAAAATCGATGCTTCGTCCTTTTTTCACATAAGCTTCCGTATTAAGCTTGACCTATCAGTGATTACACTACCCAAGGGTGATACAACCCAAGCTCTACGTCTTCCTCAATGTAGCAGTAATGGTGCATTTCTTGTTACAATCAATCACAACATCAACAACCACTTTCCTTTTACAACTTCCCTAATATAGTAACTAGGTAGCTTATCCTCTAAGCCACCGACTAACTAACTAACTAACAACCTCATCTGATAAGCCAACCCCCAATTCCTCCTAATCAGCATTGCCACATCACCAGCTCAACGTGTTGAGTCCGCAAGTACACAGAATCCTATCAAAGGGAAGCCTCAAGTGTTGTGAATAAGTGGAGTTTTAAGCCACTTAGTATTATGGTGTACTGATATTTGTTGAGAGTTGTCCCACATCGGTGAGGGACAAGGTTTGCTATGTGCTTATATGATCTTGGGCTACTCCCCATATTGCCAATTGTTTTTATGGTGAAACCTCAATTTCATCAATATTCATTTTCACTTGTAAGTGAGAGGTGGAGTTTTAAAGTCGACAGCTGAATTTCTTCAAAAGTTCAACTAATCCAGATTCAACTTGACAATTGATCTAATCCTTTGAGATCGTTAGATGATGTTTACGTGCCATGCAAATCCCATTTTACACAACAGAAGTGTTGTCGGTGGTCCAGTTAATCAAGTTGACTAAACTAGTCACATGGATTTTCTTCTCTTTTTGCTAGCAAAATCATATGGATATTTACTATTAGGTAGCTATTTCCAGTGTTATTACAACTGAGCCCTCTATATGTCCCTAATATAATATACAGTACCAGGGGTATATTTAGACTATCATGCCTTGTATAATCTACCAGGCTTAGTGGTTGAGCACAGCTGATGGGACACCACAGGGACAGACAGTGGCAGGGACTACGTACAAAATTATGGTTGCACCGGCTAATTATGAGTATTTGTCAAATGGGGTTTGAATTTTGCATCATTTCATTAATCATGGTTCGTAGAAATTAGTCCACAACTTAAGCATCCAACTGCATGCATTTATGTAATTGTGTTCTTCCTGAACTACAGTATTGTACTCCAATGCCTGCTTGCACCACTATAAATATTCGATGCTCGTGACCGAAGTTTATCAAACCAAACAGTTCACGATCCCCGCTTCCTATATGTCGATCTCTCTTTAACTTATTTGTTATTTGTTATTTGGGGAAACATGGGGAAGTATTCTAAGTACGTTGGGTTGTTTGCTGTGATGTTTGTAGTGGTGATAGCAATAGCTGAGTGTCGTAAGATTGAGAAAGAAACAGTTTCAGAAGGCCTAGGAGGTGGTTTGGGTGGTGGGGCTGGCGGAGGTGGTGGAATTGGACGTGGAGGTGGTGCAGGAGGAGGTGCTGGTGGTGGCTTTGGAGGTGGTGTTGGGGGTGGTGCTGGAGGTGGAGTTGGTGGTGGAAGTGGAGGTGGTGCAGGTGGGGGCTTTGGAGGTGGCAAAGGTGGCGGCGTAGGAGGTGGATCTGGGGGTGGTGCTGGAGGTGGAGTTGGTGGTGGAAGTGGAGGTGGTGTTGGTGGTGGCAAAGGCGGCGGTGTAGGAGGTGGATCCGGGGGTGGTGTTGGAGGCGGAGCTGGCGGGGGAGGTGGTGTTGGAGGCGGAGCTGGCGGGGGAGGTGGTGTTGGTGGTGGAAGAGGGGGTGGTGTTGGAGGCGGAGTTGGTGGTGGAAAAGGAGGTGGTGTCGGAGGCGGAGTTGGTGGTGGAAGAGGAGGTGGTGTTGGTGGAGGCAAAGGTGGGGGAGGTGGTGTAGGCGGAGGTGCTGGCGGGGGCAAAGGTGGGGGAGGTGGTGTAGGCGGAGGTGCTGGTGGAGGCATTGGGGGTGGCAGAGGTGGTGGTGTTGGAGGAGGAGTTGGTGGCGGAGGTGGTGTAGGTGGAGGTGCTGGTGGAGGCAAGGGTGGGGGAGGTGGTGTAGGCGGAGGTGCTGGTGGAGGCATTGGGGGTGGCAGAGGTGGTGGTGCTGGAGGAGGAGTTGGCGGCGGAGGTGGTGCTGGAGGAGGAGTTGGCGGTGGAGGTGGTGCTGGTGGAGGCTTTGGGGGTGGCAGAGGTGGTGGTGTTGGAGGAGGAGTTGGTGGCGGAGGTGGTGTAGGTGGAGGTGCTGGTGGAGGCAAAGGTGGGGGAGGTGGTGTAGGCGGAGGTGTTGGTGGAGGCATTGGGGGTGGCAGAGGTGGTGGTGCTGGAGGAGGAGTTGGCGGTGGGGGTGGTGTTGGAGGAGGAGTTGGCGGCGGAGGTGGTGCTGGTGGAGGGTTTGGGGGTGGTGCAGGTGGTGGTGTTGGAGGAGGAGTTGGTGGTGGTGTTGGAGGAGGAGTTGGTGGCGGTGCTGGGGGAGGAATTGGTGGTGGATATTAACTCCCAATTGCAGCTATATGCTACGCTATCATGCAAAGTCGTGTAAGATTACAGGCATAGAAATTGTATTACCTTTTACTACTAGAGAATAAATGAAGACCTGTAACGTGCCATAGGTATTACCTTTTATTTACTTCTTCCATGCAAACACTTTGTTTTCAATATGTCTAGCTTTGGCACAAGCGAATACGAAGAAGGGCATGCAAGAAGCAAATAATCCGTAAAATTAATGGAAAGATCAACTTTCTCATGATTAAACAACAAATTAAGTTTGAACAGTTGCCGACATTGTACAATTTTCAAGCGGTTTAGTAATTCTATCCAAATTCACCTAATAATTAAGCACAAATGCTATCCAAATTCAACACATAAGAGAGAAATTTCATTTTTCTAGACATGCAGTAGTCGGTCAGATTGTAGCCTTGATTGGATTCGGACAGAAACATATATTATCTGAATATGTAAGTTTGATTAATACAACAACATGCAGTTTTACATTTGTAGGGAAAGAAAATTATTAATCAAACATATGATCGGCTCTTGCATTCATCATTGATGTAAGCTCGGCCCCCGGCTAACGATCGATGAACATTAATTAATTCAAAGCCAAACCGGCAGCCATTCCTTGCCGTTGATGAAGTCGATAGACAAGAAGGGTGCAACTTCTTTTTCGGTGAGTTGTCTCGCCCATTCGGCACGCCCTGTAGCCTCTGCTCCTGGCCCTTTGCACTTGTACTCGGCATGGTATAGGTTTCTGCAGATTTCATTTCATGCACAACAAATTAAATCATAAATTAAATCGGAATATTTTTAGATGCAAACATGTGTGTTTGATCAATTATTTGGGTGCATGTTTCTTACTCAGTTGTGCCGGAATAGCTCCAGTTGGTCCAACCTTGTGGCACGACGGTCTTGGAGAGGTACATGTTTGCGTAAATCACTCTGGAGAAAGCACCCTTTGCCCTACCTAGGTACACACTGTCACCAACACCATAGAGCTTGCCCTTGTTAAAAACAAATCCACTGTTCTCCTTCTCAGTCTCCCTATTTTGAGCTGTCACGGACCCTTTGATCGACACCCTCTTGTCTCCGATCACAAAGACCTCGCAGCTCTGCATTGATGGATGCATCCATGGTTAATTAATTAGTCTTATTCAATGCACCTCGATACGTGCTGACTGATCTTTTTAAAGCGCTAATAACAGTTTTCATAATTAATTAAGAAGGTGATTAAGTACAAGTACTACGTACGTGGAAGACAGATCTACCGCGTCCAAAGATGAAGTCAATGGAGCCCTGGATGTAGCAATTATCATAGTAATGTCTGCCTTTGTAATCGAAGAGGGTGTTATGGGTACTGTAAAATCCACAATGGTAGAATGCAACTTTGTCTGCAGCTACAAATGCGGCAACTGACTGGTTCTGGGAGGTGTAAGCCACACCGGTCGGGGCCTCATTCTGCAAAACATTGCATAATTTTATGTATCTATTAGATCTACAGAATAATGTCATATTTATATATATGTGGGTTAGGATTGGAGACACATGCTTTTGACAATCATTTTGATGTACGTTTTTGTAGGACCTATTTCGTAATATATAAATATACATATACACAAAAAAGGGAATGAAGATGAACCTTGAAGCTGATCCCGAAAGCAATGAAATGGGAAGCTTCGACACTAAAAGTAGCAGATTCAACATTGTCCGAAGAGCTTTGGGACCAAACAATGGCTGACCTCCCCTTCCCATTTCCTCTCATGAAGATATAGGGCTTATTACGTGGTATGATGACCTTTTCTCTGGCAGCCAAAACATATAATTTAAATAACATAATTAAACTTGTTAATTATTCATGATGTATAGCTAATTTTGCTTTAATTTCACAATTAACAAAGTGAATCATTGATGGTTAAATTACCTGTACACTCCTTTCCTAACATGGATGATGATCCACTGCTTATTGCCTTCAGGAACAGCATCAATGGCTGCTTGAACAGATGTGAAATCTCCCTTGCCATTGATGTCAACCTTAAGCGTGCGGTTCGTGTGAATCTTCTGAGTCAATAAGGGTGAATCAATGACTTTTTGCGCTGTCAAGCAATGAACAACATTCGTGAGAGTTACGCAGGTGAAAAAAATGATTGAAAAGGTTATGAATGTTGTGGACGAAGACCAAGCCATGTTTCTAGGGAGAAACACAATCTGCAGTTTGGGTGAATTAATAATGTTCACCTAGGGGGGAATTTTTTATGAGGCAATGAGGTTCTCAACGTGAATGGTTTTTTTTTTTTAATTTTATTTTTTATTCATTTACGGGTGCGGTTATTTGGAAAAATTGAGTGTGCATGACAAATCGAAGCTGGAAGTTAATTGGCTAACAAGATTCTATCTATTTTAGAGGGCCTTCCGTTGGTTAAAGCTCAACTTTCTTTGATTTTCACGAGTAATTCAGGCAGTCGGTTAATGCGCACTCTAAAATAAGGAGAGAGACAAGCACATGCTGGAATATATAGACTCCGTTACATATGAGTTTAAGCCCTAGTGAGTGTTTCAGAGGAACTTTGTTATGCTGACGTGGGTTGTTTATGTTTAAAATTTTATTGTGTAGTTCCAATACACGTGTCTTGAAATTTAATAAAGAAAATATATTTTCATTTTTAATATTATGTCATTCTTTGAGCGTTCTTAGTATAATATCATGATGATGACGTAGTATGATTCTGCTACAAATTTTTCTTCTTTGTGTTTTAGCGTCACAAATAGTATGGACACACTTATGGTACACAAAATGTTTGATCATGCTTGCACGTCCAACAATGAACAGTATAGCGTGACTACGTACGGGGTTTATTTGGGTGATAGGTTAATGGGCTCATGTTATCCCTTTTTACATTCTACACACTTTTTATTAATTTATATCTTTTAAATTCTTCAATTAATTCAATTCGATAACTCAGAAATTGAGAGAATACGTAAAAAATAAAAATGAATGTGTGGACAGCACCATCAGATTTTATTGCGTCAACAAATCTCCAAGCACCCTAAGTTGATTTTTGTTTATCTGCTATCGAAGTAGAATACATACATACATACATACATACATACATACATATATATATATATATATATATATCTATGTATCCCAGTCCTACTATCGTGATCGTTTATAAAAGAAGATAACATTGGATAAATGCTTAAAGCTTATATGTCTGTATATATTGTGGAGCCAAAAATAATCATAAGGTAACACGTGGATTTTTGGATAAAAGAGGATAAAAATACCCTTGAGGCATATCGGGATTCCTACGCGCAAGCAGCGAGTAAACATCCCTCAACCAAGTCAAAAGTGCCCAAAATAGGTAACAAATTCAAAACTATTTCATCCACCCTCATCCTATATTCTCCACAAGGTAATTATTCCATAACCCCCAAAACATTTCTTTTAAATTATGTTAATTAGTCAATTAATGGATTTATTACCTAATTAATCTATTAATGGCTAATTAACTACAAATTACACCCAAAAAATACCACAAATGGCCGGTCCCTATTCTCTTAATAGGGCCGGTCATATCCCTATAAATAGCTCTCCATTCTCTCATAACTATTTCCAAGTCTCTTTCAAAACTCTACAAAATTCTCCAAACACTCTTCCCTCAAAATTCTAACTTTGGCATCAGAGGTTCTTCGGCCAAAGCCCCCTCTCCCCCTCCCCACCCCCCTCCCAAATTCATCGTGGGCGCATGAGGCTTTTTGGCCTTGACCAAATGTGTGATTTGTTTTGTAGGTGCAATTTTGTCCAAGAAGGAGAAGGCGGAAATTTGCATCCACAAATTGGTGTTTTCATTGAGAGTTGAGTCCCACACTCGTAGAAGACTCTCGCATCCAAGGTTTTCTATTTTCTTGTCCATTTGTAGATTTTTCGTACGTTCTTATTATTAGAATTTTTTATTTGCAAAAATTCTTTGATAAAACATAAAAGAGAAGTACGATGGCTAGAAATTTAGAAAAGTCAACAAATGAAAATTTAAACATTCCAGAGATGGGACCACGGCGATCCACGAGGCTAAATGTGACAACAAGTGGAGTGGCACCACCGCCACGAGTTTCCACCACGGGAACCACCGCGGTGGCTACCATGATAGCTACCCGCGGCGAGGTTCATAGTGTCACCACCATGGCATGAGCCATGCCATCCAAGGCAGCTCACGACACTAAGGCCATGACCTAAGCCATGTCACTCCACGCCTAACGCGTTGCCAAGCTGAGCCCAAGCCTTGCACCCGCGTGCATCACACGCCGAGTAGCCCACTCTTGTGGCCTAGCTTGCTCTTGCGGCCTAGCCCACTCCCGTGGCCCAGCCTGCTCCCGTGGCATTCTAAGCAGCCCAAATCGACCCAAAACTATCTCAACCATCTAGCCGGGGGCATTTTCACCTCGTTTCTCTACGGATTTAACATTTCCCAATTCAAATCTCGTGGCCAGAGCCTACCATACTTCCAATGCTCAAGGAGGCATATTTCTTCCAAGCTTTTCCAATCTAAATGACGAATGCCCTTGCACAACTGACAACCTTGGTGAATCAACTCTTGCAACGCATTGAGATCCAACGTGCTCCGAACGAGGTGTCCTGAAGAAGGACAAGGGCAGACGAACCTCTCCACCAGCGTCCTGGCAAGCAGCCACTTGACCAGTCACGAACCGAGCGTTCTAACATAGTACACTCCCTACTGGACCCCTAAGATAGCGTATACTTCCGTCTTAGCGCATGCACTCTTCGTTAGGCCCATGGACAAACATACACTTAGGGTTGGGGCCACACTCCGATAATCAACATGAACAGCCTTCCAGGCGAAGTGTTCATTCACGGCAAGGCCCGCAAGGAGCATCCTCCACCTCACATCGGAGTAAGCAGCACAGAGGACAGAGAGAAGCAGTCACTCAATTCGGTTCAAGTTCAACCAGCAGCCTGCGAGTTACTTGCTCGCCTGCTAGGAACATACCACACCCACTGCAGTCATGGCATAGACGAGTCGAACACATGAAATAGTAGCCTAGACCAACAGGTCACGACCGGGGGCAGCCGAAAGCTCTGCCACCCTAACAAAGGCAAATTCAGGAAGAAGTATAAAGGCTCTTTACCGAGAGAATGCGTAATTTCCCGCGCAACGAAGCTATTGAGAAGGCGCTCCATTGAGACATGACCAACATAAGCGAGTCATCTTTCAATGACAAGATCAAGCAGACGAGACTACCCCATATAGATTGCTAGATATAAAGACTTACTTATATTCCGACAAATGTAGCAGCTCAGCCTAATGACATGCCGGGGGCAGACGAGTACCAGAAGGATACACCAACCCAACTACCAAGAACCAGGGGCATGCTAAGGATTATTTCGGGTGTCCCAGCAGTCTAGCTTTCCTTAGCTGCACTCATGACAATGATTTCCATGCTCTCCAATGTGAGAGGGTAAACTAATTCCCTGATACCCAAAAGGGTCTGCTCTCCAACGCGAAAAGATAAACTAATTGATCTCCAGTGCGATAGGGTAAACCAATTTTCCGACACCCATATGGGTTTGCTCTCTAGTGCGAGAGGATAAATTGCTCTTCAGTGCGAGAGGGTAAACCAATTCCCTGACACCCATATGGGTTTGTTCTCTAGTGCGAGAAGATAAATTAATTGATCTCCAGTGCGAAAGGGTAAATTAATTGTTCTCCAGTGTGAAAGGTTAAACTAATTGTTCTCCAGTGCAAGATGGTAAATTAAATCCCCGACACCCATCTGGGTAAGCTCTCCAATGCGAAAAGGCCATATAGCTCAAAAGTTCGAATGCTTGAAGATCAACTAGGCAACAAATGGTTAGGGGGCAGCAGCCGCTTTTACACTTAACAGTTCGCTCATCCGACACTTCATCTTCAGCAACTCTGATATTGGTAGCTCCATCTATGATAACTGAGAAATCAAACTCAAGCAATTTCATCATTTTTGGCAAGCAGCCCAGACGTGGCAGCCTAAACCGTTGCCCATGCCATGCCAACTCCTCGGCCCATGCCGAGCCAATCCTTGGTTTCAATCAAGCCGAGCAGCACAAGCAATGGCCCCTACCAAACCACCCCCTTGGCCCATGCCAAGCCGACTCCTGACCCCTACCAGCCGACGTGTCGCACTACCCTGACTGCTGCCTTGTGACATCACTATCTACGAAGAAGACAAGAAAAATGAAAATTTTCTTACATCAGTGCGGCACGGAGAAAACGAAGAAATCAACGAAAGACGGTCCTTTGCATGAGCAAGATGTAGAAGATTGCTAGAAGAGGGGGAATAAATATCCTCTAAGCTCCCTTTCTCTTGTAGGGTAGAATCAATCACTCTTCAAAGTTGATTTAATAACCCACTTAAGGTGGACTTAAATAGGCTTTAAGAGAAATTTATTTCCCTTTCCTAGAAAGATCTAATTTCCTATTAAAAAGGGAATCTACATCAAAATAGGAAGTAGTCCAAAGTTTCCTAAAGCAAGAAAATCTCTACACCTGTTGCCCTTCTCTGCAAGCAACCTAACTGGTGTGGGGGCATTTGTGGAGCCAAAAATAATCACAAGGCAACATGTGGATTTTTGGATAGAAGAGGACAAAAATACCCTTGAGGCATACCGGGATTCCTATGCGTGAGCAGCGAGCAAACATCCCTCAACCAAGTCAAAAGTGCCCAAAATAGGTAACAAATTCAAAAGTATTTCATCCACCCTCATCCTATATTCTTCACAAGGTAATTATTCCATAACCCCCAAAACATTTCTTTTAAATTATGTTAATTAGTCAATTAATGGATTTATTACCTAATTAATCTATTAATGACTAATTAACTACAAATTACACCCAAAAAATACCACAAATGGCCGGTCCCTATTCTCCTAATAGGGCCGGCCATATCCCTATAAATAGCTCTCCATTCTCTCAAAAAACTACTTCCAAGTCTCTTGCAAAACTTTACATAATTCTCCAAACACTTTTCCCTCAAAATTCTAACTTTGACATCGGAGGTTCTTCGGCCAAAGCAGCCCCCATTCATCGTGGGCACGTGAGGCTTTTTGGCCTTGACCAAATGTGTGATTTGTTTTGCAGGTGCAATTTTGTCCAAGAAGGAGAAGACAGAAATTTGCATCCACATATATATGTGTGTAGACGGTCCGGCATAAAACATTCAAAGAAGGCCAGTTTTGCATAATGGTTCTGGTAGTTTTTCCGGACTTTCACTCAACTAGTTAGGTAATTTATTGACTTCTGCATTTTCATCCTTGTAGTTTCGTTTTGTTCCATATTGTTCAATTCGTTAACTAATTAGTTGATGCTTTCATCCATTTTGTGAATAATATCATGGATGCAGTGTGATAGAGTGAAGATCAAACAACGTTAATCTTAAAGAACACTGAAATCCATCACAAGGTATGAGAAAATCTCAAAAGTTTAATATTGCATAATTACTAAGATAACAAACTTAAAACCAAAACATTCTATTTATAATGTAACTTAACCCTAATAAAATACGTTCTCCAAAAAAAAAAAAAAAAAAAACCATAATAAAATACCAAAAACATCCTTGAATGTAAACAATACATTTTGGCCGAAAACGTCCTGAAGGTCCTTAAAACCCTAATATAAACATTATAAACAACAACATTTAGCTGAAAAACCCATATGTCACAAACAGAATGATGAGTTTAATGTGTGTTGCCGTTCTCTTCGAAATGATGGGTCATGGGCCCAAATTGAACTCGAAAGCTCATATTTGCAAATCTTTGATTCTTTGACCTGATTTGT